ACACAGAGAGAGAGAGAGAGAGAGAGAGAGAGAGAGAGAGAGAGAGAGAGAGAGACCTCAACATATGATATATGTTCTTTATTACAAATCACATTTCTGTTTACTTTTATACACAAAATGTGTAAGGTTAGCACTGCCCCCTTGTGGTAAACAACTGCCTTTACAAGTTTGTTATTAATAATGCTGGATCAAATGCAATCATCTAACAAATCTTCCAAACAATAAAAAAAGTTAACTTTATTACAACGTAACTTAGATACTAACAAAAGAATAACAGTCACACTTCGTCATTATCAAACATGCCAGAACAATCCACAAGGATCTCCAGTGACCAGTACTACAGTCAAACAAACAATCACACACTCTCACACACTCACTCTCACACACTCATTCTCACTCTCACTCACGCACACACACACACTCACTCTCACTCACTCACTCACTCACTCACTCTCTCACTCACACACTCTCACTCACTCTCACACTCGCTCACTCTCTCACTCACACACTCTCACTCACTCTCACACTCGCTCACTCTCTCACTCACACACTCTCACTCACTCTCACACTCGCTCACTCTCTCACTCACACACTCTCACTCACTCTCACACTCGCTCACTCTCTCACTCACACACTCTCACTCACTCTCACACTCGCTCACTCTCTCACTCACACACTCTCACTCACTCTCACACTCGCTCACTCTCTCACTCACACACTCTCACTCACTCTCACACTCGCTCACTCTCTCACTCACACACTCACTCACTCTCGCACTCACACTCACACTCACACTCACACTCACTCTCACACTCGCTCACTCTCACACACTCACTCACTCACTCACTCACACTCACACTCTCACTCACACTCACACACTCTCACACTCGCTCACTCTCACACTCACTCGCACACACACACACTCACTCACTCACTCACTCACTCACTCACAGGGTGCGGTTTTATCAGAAAGCACAGGAGCATGATCAGTACATTCAGAGCTGCTCTATTCTGTTCTTAAAACACAAATCTCGATCAGTCAGTAATGTGAACAGTGTTATACGATCAGAATTAATGACATCTCGGCATTTCCTCCAGTCACCTTTGCTTCGGATTGAGCCTATGATGATCACATTACCAGCACTGGGCATCAAAGGTGATTTGTGTTGTTGTTTCAAATGCTTTTATTGTATGCAACAGCGCCTGCCCACTTTCCAGCGGACTTGCTTCCCCAAGTATTGTTCCCATTCATTTTCCCCATAGGGAGTCTTTAAAGAGCTATAAACAATGAACCAAACCAACCAGCTGCAAGCTCAATCACAACACTACAGACTCAGATTTGTAGCAAAAAATTATTTGGGGAAAAAAAAAAAAAAATTTCAGAAAAGAGATGAAAGGTACAAATCTGTGTACTTGCAGACTATGGTGAGGGAAATAACTACAATTCCATGAAACACTGTGAATAATCAAATTAAAAATGACAGAAACATCTAAAACATATTTTACATTTTGATAGCGTAGGGAGACTGACGATCACGTCATTGAGAGCACATCATGGGACTTTTAGCACAATTGTTTCGATTCTCTGATTGGGGGACTGTTTTTGCAGAATCATGGGTACTGTAATTTTTCACCAGGAACTTTGATGTTTAACAATTTTTTGCAACAAAATTTACAAAGCGAGTTGAAATAATGTAGACTGGCGGCTTTAGCAAAAGCATATAGCGCTGATTAATAACCGCGGTGCTCACAGCAGGTCTGTCAGCTACGGTCAGCAGGTCTCAGGATACATAACGCTAAAAACAGGTGGAAACAGGGTCCGAAACATTTTCTGATCACAGAAGACTCATGCAAATACATTTTCAAAACTTTTTGAGAAACCTGTGTGTCTGGCCTGACGTATCAACTTGAGAAAATATAATGATCAAACCGCACAGGCCAGCAAACGTACCTGCACTCTCAGAAAGCAGGGCCATGCGTACGGAGGAAGAGTGTGGAGCAGATGACTGTAGAGCCTCTCTCCATCCAATCCATGACCGTCCTTCAGCACAACAGCAGTCATTCCTGCTCGACCCTCGTATCCTGCAAACACCAGCATTCACTCACACCAGACCCAGTGCTACATCTCTCATACGACACTTATGAAATCTATTTGATGCTTCTTTAGATTTGGAACGGTTTAGTTAATAATCAATTTAAAAACATGATTAAAAAACAGACAGCAAAGCAACTTTTAAACAGACTACAGTAAATCATTACTCCAGCAGTTATTAGACACAGCCGGAGACTAAAGCACCTGGCACAGTGACGCCGTACACACTGACATCCAGCAGGAGGTCCAGACAGCCCAGCACTTCAGACACCTCTGTGGTGGACACGTTTTCTCCTTTCCACCTGCAGACCAGCAGAACAGCATGATCAGTGACATGGCGCCGCGGTCCTAACCTAACATTTCACCTTTCCTCGGATGTGAAAACTACACTCATAGCAAATGGACCAATAAGAAGTGTGCTAGAGTTTCACATGCTTAGGTGAGTCAACATCAGAAAAATGATTTCCAACAGACAAATAAAGAATGCTCTTGCTCCTGGTCTGTAAAGAGGAGCGGCGTGATTCCTGACTGAGCGAGGAGGGGTTCCCTTTCATGGAAACTTCGAACTGCATCCTCTAGGGGTCGCTATGGGGAACGCCTCGTCGTGACCCGTGTCTGAAGCATACATTGAAAAAACACCAACTCGTTGGCCGGCGACAGCCATGATGTCACTACCGGTGCAACTATAGTATAAATAGGCGCCGGGAGCACACATCATTCTCTTCTTCGTCTTCATTGACTGTTTTGTTTGAAGCGTGCATTTCTGTGGTAAGAGCGATCTCTATTCATCTCATTATGGCGAGCACTAGCAAAGCATTTAAGGATGTGTGCATCCGTGTTGACGTTGTTTAACATCTGATGACACACACGATCTATGCGTTATTTGTTTGGGCGAAGTGCTCGCACGCGATGCCTCCGAGGGGGCAATGGGCGGGCACTGCGAGCGTTTTTTCCAAGGGAAAAAGCTCCGCTCTCGTTTGTCTCTCTTTTCGAGGAAAAATGTTTTTTCAATGTATGCTTCAGACACGGGTCACGACGAGGCGTTCCCCATAGCGACCCCTAGAGGACGCAGTGTCTCGTTCCCTACTCGGGGAACCATGGTTACATAAGTAACCTGAGACGATTTTTGGAAAGTCGCTCCACTACAGCTCCATCACGAGCACAATTAATGCCAACAGCCCATAATATAACTGCAGTTTATCAAGAACTCACACGTTAAACATCATTAGCTAGCTTGACAGCCATATGGATCACTCAGATCAGAGAGACGGGGAAGGTTTAAATGACAGTGATGAACGAGTGCGGGAGGTTATTTCTCAGGCAGGTTTGTTTGTAGCATGTGGACACGCGATATTGATTGAGTGAATTCATGTTTTAAACAGTGTATTGTACATGTTGTTATAATCTCCGCTCTAAACTAATGTGCTGCCTCACTGCACACAAGAGACCAGCTCGCACAGAACGTTCAGGAAGTGCAGACAATTATTGTCAACGCTGCCCTGTGATTTATCAGCTTAAAAACGGAAAAGCTACAACATATTCTTTCTGAAGTAACTAAAACCCATAGTAGAGAAACACTGCACAGACAAGGGACTTAAACAGTCATTTAAGATAGACTTGGGCTAATAGTAGTGTTCCAGTAAACCACGTCTATTCTTCTAGTATTGTGTAATTATTTCTCGTGTAATATAAGCGTTTCTGCTCAGTGGAGCGAGGAATGGAGTGATTACTGAATGCCTGGAGCGCGGAGGAGAAATAGTGGTCGCTCACATACAGCTATAGACGGAGGCTAAGAGAAGGAAAACACAATTCATCTGTACTGCGAGAACTCGTTTTGACTCACTGTGTCCCTTCCTGTACGGGGGTGTTTTATTTTTTCATGCACACAATGAGGAATTACTTTATGACTCTAGAAAACACAATTCATCTGTACTGCGAGAACTCGTTTTGACTCACTGTGTCCCTGTACGGGGGTGTTTTATTTTTTCATGCACACAATGAGGAATTACTTTATGACTCTTTGTTCTGAGAGTGCTGTGAGAAGAATCAGGCTAAGCGTCACTCCTCTGGCTTCCTGCAGCCGCTCTCATCAAGTGCATTGACGGTGTACAGTCAGTGAACAAGCGGCACCTGGATGCTCCTTTACAGTGCTGCACAAAACCGCTTTCCAAAAGCTTGACTCCCTCTGGTCCTCAGCGGTGACAAACCTCCACTAGAGCTGTCGAGACCAGCAGCAGCTTTACAAAGCAGCTCATGAACGCAGGAGCCTGCTAGACCTGGCTTCTTTTCTGCACTACACTGCTGCTCTTATCATGACATTTCTCATTTGGGTCTTCTGAAGAATCAACGTAAATGTAAAGTCTACACAGAGTGTGTATGTTTATGTCAAAAGTTCAGTTGATGTAAGACCACTCTGCTCAGACAGGAAATTCCCAAAGGTGCTCCGCATCTGTGATTTAACTGCGTGTAGGTTGAGCTTTTGGGCAGATTCTTTAGAGGTCCCACCAAGTTAGTCTTGGCCAGACCCTCTGCCAGAGCCCTGAACCGAACCTTTTCACACAGAATCCTATCGAAGCATTATTATGTCATTATGACTTTGGAAACGCGCTCCTGCTCTCAGAGCTTCAAACTGCAATGCGATCGAATGCAAAGATTCCCCACAATACCAGCACATTTACATGAAATAAAGACCTGAATGTGTCTCCAATCCTGTCTTTGAAGTAGACAAAGTTTCTGTGGTCCTGAAGCATCAGGTCTCCAGTGTTGAAGTACACATCTCCGCACTTAAAGACGTCCCTCAGCAGCTTCCTCTCAGACATGGCTTTATCGCCTGCGTATCCCAGGAAAGGGTTGGTGAACATCACTGGAGCCACCAGTAACCCTGCTTGCCCTGAAACCACAGCAGTCTGGGCTGAGGACATCATTACTCACTCAAAACACAGCTCAAACATTTCACATCGATTTCAGTTCATTTTCACCACTTCTCCTCATATGCAAAATAACTACTTTTCCAAACCTGCACAAACATGACAAAAAGTAAGCTCCCTCACAGAGTTGTCATTTACAGAAAGGTAACATCACTCCTAATAAAGTGATCCGGTGTCCATCTCAGAGTCACACAACAGTGGTCAGTCGTCTGCTCTTAAAAATGAATGTATATGAAAGCAGATGTGATGATCTCACCTTTACTCACTTTAATGCAGTGTCCCGTGTCTGTGCGTATGGGCTCATATGTGTGTGGATCACATTTTAAAAACTCAAACGGCAAATTGAGCTGAAATAAAACAGATCCACATCTCAAAGTACATTTCGGATTTCTGAATGAACTGCAATTCCTCTTTGAACCTCATTTTTTACACATTTATTTTATTAAACAGTTGCATTAAAAACCCTCAAATCAAATAAAAACAGACCTTATTAAAATAACTGGCTCGCCCAATCGGTCCAATTTCATCAGTGTAATTAACGAAGCCAATACTGGCCTCCGTTAAACCATAAGCTTCACGAATTTGGATTTTTCCAAAACGCCTGAGAAACTCCTTCCAAACGTCGGCTCTGAGACCACTTCCTGCGGCGAGGCGAACTTTATGAGCCACTTCCTCTGCAGTCTGTAGAAAGGAAGTGGTATGAAAATAAGCCAAAGATTAACCGCAACAGCTTAAAGGGGTCCTATATTATGCTTTTTCACTTTTTTAATTTTAGTCAGTGTGTAGTGTGTAAGTTTGGGCATAAAAAAGATCTAGAATGTTAAAAATCTCAAAGTCCACTCCAAAGGGAGATATTTCGTTTTTTAAGAATCCCTTTTCAAGAACTACAATGAATGGCTCGTTTGGACTACAGCGTTCGTTTTCCGGGCTTTGTGATGTCACAAAACGGCTCATTAGAATATCATTACAAATAATTCCCGCCTACAGAAATTCGAATGGTTGGGGGGTGGGGAGGGGCGAGGTTGTGGTTAGAGCGCTTGGTTGAGTGAGTGCATCAGACGAGACGACGAAGAAGAAGTGCTGCTGCAGAGTTAGTGCATCAGAGAAAACCAAGAAGAAGAGCTGCTGTGCTGTAGCTTCAACTTTGTAAAAGAGCATAATAGGACCCCTTTAAACAATTTCATCAACGCAACACAAACACAATGAAATCTAATCTTTGATGAAACAATGTAAACTAGAAAAAATAAATAAAATAATAATACAGTACATATTTCAGCATGTAGTACAAAGTTTAGTACCTTTGGTTGATTGACCAGATATCGACAGAGTTCTCCAATATACTGAAACATAGTAATATCATACTTCACACAGTCCTTCCAAAACTGGCTGGCAGAGAACTTCCTCTTCAAAACACAGGTCGCCCCTGAAATCCAACATCAGGATTACATTCAGCCAGACTCTTCCCTGGATAACAGCAGGACTCGCAAGAGATGTTCATGCGTGTAAACACCTGTCTTACAGTATTTACAGTGCAGTAAAACAAGTCATCGTGTTGCAGTGGTGACTGTGATATCATTGTGTTGGGCTGATCGTACCGAGCTCGATGCAGCCGCCGATGCAGAGCAGTGATGCAGACATGTGATAGAGCGGCAGCGTCAGATAGACTCGGTCACAGGCTCGAGCGCCACACAAGCGCAGGAAGGCCATGCACATCACCGCTTTGATGTGACTGATCCGAGCAGCCTTCGGCAGCCCTGAGGAACGAAGAAATAAACAACAGAATGGCCTGCTGCACAATGAAGAGCTGAAGCTGTAACAGTTAGAGGTCACATTAAGAGCTACAGCTCAGTACGACTCACAATAGAATAGACATACAGGAGACAATGTGTGAAGATGCAATGTACAACACAATACATAAACAACACAGCACACAAACTGAGCACTGACAGATAAAAACTCTATTACTAACAGGCTGGAGATGATGCTGATGTGTATGTAAACAAGGGCCAAAAGCACACCAGAGAACTAATATGACTACTCAGTGAAACACTTTTCATATAAAGTAGTGAAACAGTAAAATAAATCTTTAATAAGACCTTTAAATGCAGCATGTGACATTTCATCAAACTAATAACTGCATCAGCTTTTTTTAAGTGTACTTTTCCAATATTACACACAATGTTCAGGCATTCGTTTACTGAAGTGTTTTTCTTGATTTCTGTTTTCATTCCTTTGGTTCATTTGATAATGACTGCATGTTTCGTGATAGCTGTGCATTAGTTCCTGCTACATCCAGAGTACTGTAGAGTGTGAGATATGACCAGCTCCTTACAAATGAGGAATCATACACAACTGCTACAAAGGTGCAATCACGCAAGCATCATCCCCAGCATTGACTGTTAGTTTAACAGCTGCTAGAGTAACCCCTCCGGTCCTACGGTCATCACCCCAGCGTCTGCTCTACGAGATGATGAAGCTGCTGTGCTGTACCTGTGGTGCCAGAGGTGAAGATAAATAGGAAGTTGTTCATGAGGTTGGGCTGAGGGCCGTCAGTCTCGGGCTTGTCTGGAGAGGCTGACTCCAGCTTGTCCAGCAGCGTCCCGACGCTCTGGTGTGAGGAGCTCTCTGCTGCCACCCAAACCTCAAGCCCAGCGTCCGTCAGAGCCAGCAGCACCTCGTCCACACACCTGATCAAGTCTACACACAGGAGTCAAACGCTTTTCCTTTCAGATGAACAAACAGCATGACTATAGATGGTATACATAGATGATATGTTTCCTGGATGATCCATCACTGTTTTAATGTTTTGTGATGGTTGTTCATGTTGGTTCCGGTTGGATAGTTGTTGGTCCTGAACAGTTAAAAATCCTCCAGCTCCTACACATTCTTTGGTTTTCCAGCATCTTCTGCAGATCTGAACCCTTTCCAGCAGTGACCGTGTGATTTTGAGATCCATCTTTTCACTCTGAGGACGATCGAGGGACTCATACAAAGCTATCACAAAAGATCAAAACATGTACTGATGCTCCAGAAGGCCACACAAAGCATTAAGAGTGAATTGGGTGATCAGGGTAAATTGTCCTTATTTTGTCTTCTGGGAAACATGTATGTATTTATGTAGCTTCTGAAGTGCAGTACTAAATGAAAAAAATATGATCTTTAAACAAAATAAGAAAAATTGACACATCATCATCCTGTTCTTAATGCATTGTGTGGCCTTCTTGAGCATCAGAACATGTTTTGACCTTTTGTAATAGTTATGTATGAGTCTCTCAATTGTCCTCAGTTTGAAAAGATGGATCTCAAAATCATACGGTCACTGCTGGAAAGGGTTCAGATCTGCAGAAGATGCTGGAAAACCTGAGAATGTGCAGGAGCTGGAGGATTTCTCTGAAAAACAGCAGGCAGTTGAACTGCTCAGGACCAACAAAGGACTCATGAACAACAGTGATGGATCATCCAGGAAATAACACACAGTATTAATATTCAAGAGTATGTAAACATTTGATTGGGGTCATTTTCATAAATTCAGTCGTTATTTTGTCTTGTGGAGTATATATAAACATCCGTTATGTGAAATAGCTTCTTCAGGACAGTACTAAATAAAAAATAAATAACATGCAATTTTCACGATCCCTCTTATTTTGTTAAAATTATGAACATTTTGCATATTCTGCAAGGGGTGTGTAAACTTATGAGCACAACTGTATGTTTCAAAGTAAATGATGTCAATATGGTAATATATTAAAAGAACTTAACATAACTATACAGAACATTCTGATCTGATTTGTTGACATTTAAGAAGCTCTTATTAAAGCATGTTGATTGCTGCAGGCAAACTTGACAATCTAGCACTCATATTCTCACAAATTACATGATCAAACGTTAACTATGATAAATTCACATTTTAACCTGAATTAATCGAGGATGTGCCTTTTACCCATGCAGTATCCTGTGACAGAACTGAAGAAAATTCAGCTTCCAAAGACGGTTTATCCACTGAACTCAGCAGTCCTTATGAATGTTTTGACTCAAGCTTACTAATTAGTGTGTATGTGTGATTAAATATATGTCCTATAGACTTGATGGAACGATGGAATGTTCTGATGGGTCTGTGAATTCATAACTTTTGTAATTCAGGCCAGCCTTCAAACATCAAATCTCTCTTGAATGTCAAATTCAAAAAGAGAAAGTTCAGTTTTTATTTTGATTTGTAACAGTGCTCAGTCAGACCACACTTTGTCAAATCAGCAGTGAAACGTTTCTCGTGACGGAATTTGTTGCGTTGTAACAGTCTTCAGCCTGCTACTAGTTGAATTCAGCTGCAGTTTCATTCCTCGCTTGTAGAGGGCAGCCTAAACTTCGGTTGATCACGGATAAATGTAGTAGCTTAATAGGAGAAGAGAGTATGGATACCTTTTGGTTGTGTGCCAATGTGCCTAGTTGCAGCATTTGAGCTGATCTTCTGCATTTGGGGAAGGCCCTTGTTGAGAAACATTTTTGTTTCCTTCTCAACTGTGAGTATGGTTACTTTATTGCATTTATTTATTTATGAAAGAGTTATTTGATGACCCATTTAGTAGAGAACAAAACTATTGGGTATTTTTTTTTATGTTTAAGTCAAGTCAAGTCTGCTTTATTGTCAATTCTTCCACATGTACAGCACATACAGTGGGTACGGAAAGTATTCAGACCCCCTTCAATTTTTCACTCTTTGTTATATTGGAGCCATTTGCTAAAATCATTTAAGTTAATTTTTTTTCCTCATTAATGTACACACAGCACCCCATATTGACAGAAAAACACAGAATTGTTGACATTTTTGCAGATTTATTAAAAAAGAAAAACTGAAATATCACATGGTCCTAAGTATTCAGACCCTTTGCTGTGACACTCATATATTTAACTCAGGTGCTGTCCATTTCTTCTGATCATCCTTGAGATGGTTCTGTCGGGAGATAGAGAAGCCGCAGCGTGTGAACGTGCCGCCATCATTAAGTAGAACCTTTAATTGGTAGAACGAGGATAATGATTGAGGTGTTTTTTCTGTTTGTAGAAGGTTTTTTTTCCTATGTTATGCTTGATACATATGGAAGCGTTGTGGATTGAATTCGAATCTTCGTTGATGGAGTTGGCAAGTAGGCCTACTAAAGGCTATCTGTTTGGTTCCCTACCATGGAGTTGCTTTAAGGACTGATTCGCCGCTCTACAATACGGATTATAATTGTGATTCAAGGACAACGTTTGAGCCTACTTAAGTCGTCGTTGCCATTGGACTTCTTCAATGTCTAACATGATCACAGATAAGACTACTTTCTTTGACTTTTAAACATTGTGCTTTCACCCTCAAGGACTTGATTCATAGTTTGATCAAGATGGGTCAATTTTTGATCTCAGATGAACAAGTGGTGTTGGATTGATATTATCACTGTTGTGTTTGGTGCAAAATGTGTATTGTTTTCGCTAGTATCACTTAAATTGAAAGGAATACAAGTTAAAGAAAGAGTTTTGTGGCTGCCTTATTTTATTTGTTAGAATTAATCAACGTTTATGTTGGAAACCCACCCAAAAATCAGATATATAACTAACATTGGTTTAAATATTAATCTGAGTGGTTATATAATGGCGCCCAAACAGAGACACATTTTCGTATGAGATATTGTTTATTCTGCTAATAAAATATGGCAAGCCAAGGATCTAATGATGGGGATGAGCAGGAACCCAAACTTGATTTTTCTTCTGATGCATTCCTTAGCAGAAGAGAGCCTGTTAGAGAACTAATCGATACATTTAGTACTCTTTATGTAGACTCAGAAGAAGAAAATGAAGTGGTTGAGGCTAAGAATGAAATTAAACAGCAGAGTAGGGATCCTTCACCTCCTGAACCTGAGAAAGAACAAGAAGAGGCGCACACACAAGAGCAAATGCAAATATCAGGTGCAACATTAATAGAACAGTTAATTGAGCGAGTCAGTAAATTGGAGAGTCGTTTTGAAAAGTGGGTTCAAAAGATGAATGAAAGCGTGACCTTTGCTGAGTGTAAAGCTATTGAAGAAAGAGTGACTTACCACCTGGAACGAGAATGTGAGAGAGTCCAGAAAAAAATGGAGCTTGAACTTCAAGATTTGGGTAAATCTATGGTGGACTGTTTGAAGAGGCGAGATGCTCAAATTGACCACAAATTAAAAACCCTTACGCCTGTTATGTCTACTCCCATACATCCAAAGTCAAATCTTTATGCTCCTGTTTCTAGAGCTACAGTGACTAACCAGACTTACCATGTGCCAAGTAGCCAAATGTCCTGCTTAGAAGGTATGTCAATGATGTCATTCCATCCTCCAGTGAAAATAGAATTTCCAAGTTTTAGTAATAGTGGAGAGGAAGATCCTGTTACTTTCATAGAGAGATGTGAGGAATATTTTGCCATTCGTCCTCTCAATGATTGTGAAATTCTTGCTTCTTTAACATCAGTATTAAAGGGTACTGCCAAAGATTGGTGGCTGGCAGAGAAGAACGTTCAGACATGGCAACGGTTCAAAGATATCTTTTTGCGCTCATTCTTAAGTGAAGACTATGAAGAAGAAGCTGCTAGAAGATTACTGGAAAGGAAGCAGGGTGCTAAAGAGAGTATTAGAGATTTTGCTTATCATTATAGAGCCTTATGCCTTCGAAGAAACAAGGACATGTCAGAGAGGGAAGTGGTACATGCCATCTTACAAAATTGCAACCCACGACTAGCGAGTTTACTCAGAGGAACTGTGAGAGGGGTGGATCATTTGGTAAGATTTGGCACTCAAATTGAAAAGGATTTTGAAGAGTCTAGAAGATACTGGAGCCAAGTTAATTCAGAGACGCAGCAACGGAGAGCGAATGCTTCTAGAGAAGTTGTACTAAAGTCTTCTCCAGCTAACACGAGAAGCATGCAGTCTGCGAAAAGTGTTGTTCAACCTGAGATAATCACCCTCCCTATCATTCTACGTGGCAGATACTTACAAGCAATGATTGATACCGGCAGTACCTTATCGCTCATTCAAGAGTCTTGTTGGAAGCAATTGCAATGTCAAGAACCATGTAAACCGAGCAATGGCCAGACCTTTTTGCTAGCCAACGGTCAGAGGCAGGAAGCTATTGGCAAGCTGGAGTGGGAATGTGAACTGCAAGGGAGAAAAATAGCTCTGACATTGTACGTAATGCGTGATACTGATCTAACAGTACCTATTATCCTTGGTATGGATTTTCTGTTATCTTCAGGGATCATCCTTGACTTCAGAAGATCTCAGTATCAACTACCAACATTAGAAGATGATGAGAAAGTTGCGACTTTTCCTTTGTTGTCACATGAACCCTGTTCGACCGTACATTTCTATCTTGCTCTGTCCACACCAGTGGCTTCAGATGAAACTCTACAGTCGATCCGTGACCTTGTTCAGAAAGCTGATATGAATCATCATAGCAAAGACATGCTGAGGGAGCTGATGTTGAAATGGCCCACAGTCTGCACACATGAAATAGGTCAGTCAAGTATAGTCAAACATCGAATTATCACCACTGACGAAGTTCCTGTTCGGAAAAAACCCTATAAGCTGTCAAGAGAAAAACAACAATTTGTTGATGCAGAAATTCAAGGGCTACTGGATAAGAAGATCATCCGTCCATCTATTTCTCCATGGGCTTCTCCAGTAGTGGTGGTACCTAAA